GACTGGGAGCCTGCCCTGTGTGCTCAGACTGGGAGCCTGCCCTGTGTGCTCAGACTGGGAACCAGTACTCGGACTGGGAGCCTGCCCTGTGTGCTCAGACTGGGAGCCTGCCCTGTGTGCTCAGACTGGGAACCAGTACTCGGACTGGGAGCCTGTGCTGTGTGCTCAGACTGGGAACCAGTACTCGGACTGGGAGCCTGTGCTGTGTGCTCAGACTGGGAACCAGTACTCGGACTGGGAGCCTGTGCTGTGTGCTGGGAGTTTATATGTGATGTCACTGAGCAGTCACACCCTCGGCATTCCTCTTGCAGCTTCACTGATCCGTCTTCCTTGTCCTGCTGAGCTGCAAAATCTCATTTACTGAACCCATCAATGTAACACGTTTTATTATCATCAGAATTACTATAAAGAAATCAAATATCCTGCTGACCCGAAGTCCTCATATAGTCCTCATAGTCCCAGCAGTCCCTGATCACTATGTAGCACCCAAAGATTTTAAAGTGACGCTGTTGTTTTTGTCGGGAGAAATCAATTCCAATAATACAAATGATTGGATAGAATGTAGAATATTCATAAATGAAGAATTAGAGAGAAACGAATATAAAAGAAAATCCATCCGAGTCCCGGAACTCTGAGCAACAATGTCTCTTATTTGTGTCACTCGGATCCTCCAATCATCTCTGACACCGTCCTTTCTTCTGGAGGGTGACTACATCACACACGGGGACCATGCTGGGGAACAGACGTAGCCCCCCTCCAGGAGGAAGGACAGTGTCAGAGATGATTGGAGGATCCGAGTGACACAAATAAGAGACATTGTTGCTCAGAGTTCCGGGACTCGGATGGATTTTTAGGATTGATACCCCAATGGGAGGTGTCACTTGTCAGATCGGATTATTATCTCTATGAGGAATGATCAATATTAATGTCTCTCTAATTCTTCATTGATGAATATTCTGCATTGTGTCCAATCTTTTGTATTATCGGAATTGATTTCTCCGACAGTAACAATGATAAAAGAAATGATGGAGAAGGATAATGTTACTTCTGTCTCTCACATTCACTGAGGTGTATGTAGCGTGAATCTGGGGCTATTCACCCCACTTCCCATAGATTGAGGAATCTCTTCTCCTTACAGCTCAGAATATGTGATTTGTATTTATTACAATGAAGAAGAATCCATGGAACGGTCCCCGGGGTCCCTGGGCTCAGTCGGGATCACATCCATGTCAGATTTAAAGGGGAACTCGCTTACCTCTGAATGGGGAAAGACCCAGAATCGGACATTTGTATGTGTGCTGAGACCATCGGAATACAGGTGACTTGGGGATATTTTGGGGGCAATAAAAAGGTTTAGGAGCGATTCTTGGAAATTCCACCTTGCAGGTGAGCTGACATCATGTGACCTCCCAGACAGGTAAGTGGAGGATTGCGCAATCTCTCGGTGTGATTCTCCGTCACGTACACAGGAGAAAGTCTATGACGTCATCCAAGAACCTGAAACGTTTCCTGCAGTTATTTTTAGACTTGAGATTTTATGATTTCTTTATCTGTTCCTTCTATTTTTAGAGGAGACTCAGAATTCTGTATAATAGGGATGATAGGGATCATCGCCCACGGAATTTCCACCCATCAGGAAACGTTCAGGACGGAATTGTCATATAATTGATCCAGATTCATCGATATCTCCTAAATATTACAGACAATATTATATGATCGAATACAATATAAAGAGGATATAATGTAATAATAACAAAGAGAATACAATGTAATAATAAAGGGAATATAAAAATAATAATAATAATAATAATAAAAAAGAGATTACAAAGTAATAATAAAGAGAATACAATATACATAATAAAGGGATTACAATGTAATAATAAAGGAAATACAAAGTAATAATAAAGAGATTACAATGTATCCGGGTGGCATGAAGCGACTTTTGTTGTTTCCTGATAAGAAGGGGATTCCCGGCCTCTTGTCACTTTTTCTGTAATATGATTAATCATTTAATAATTAATAGAATAAAATGTATCCAATCGATAGAAAGTTGCATTTTGACTTCCTGATGAGAAGGAAATTCCCGGCCACGTTGTCACCCAGCTTGTGTCTGATGACATCATGTAACCAGGAAATTCTGTACAATGTGAAATATGTCTCCTCGGGTCATGTGACTTGTCACCCAGGAAATATAAAATGAAGGAAATGAAAGAAGATTTGTAGTTTTGGGGGTTTGTAGTTTCTAAGAATAGCAGAAGAGGAGGAGCTGAGCTCTGAGATTCTGTATATAAGGAGGAATTGATCCCATACAATCATATCTTCCCTCATCCATCGATCTTCATCCATAGAACGATCAATCATCTTCCAGAAGCACCATGAAGGCCGATGCCGCCCAGATGAAGGTTCTCTATGATGCCAATGGCTACCTGAGCTCAGTGGATGTCCTAGATGAGAAACAACTGCTGCAAGCCAGCCTCGAGTATGCCAAGCTGGAGGACAAGTTCGGTGAGTTCCGGGAATATTCGGAGGAGGATTTTGTGATCTCGGAAAGTATCGGATCATTTGGGGGATGTTGGGATTGTAGGATAATCTGAAGGGGGGTGAAAGTGAAGCTTTGCTCTGACCCTGCAGGGGGAGTACCCCCCCCCCCCCATATACATTTTTTCTGTTCTGCCCCCCAGGGGACAAAGGAAGTCCTGAGTAGGAGGAGTCGCTGGACTTATCTGGGGCAAATAGTCTGTTCACTCTGCCATGGAATGTTCCCTTAGCTTAGGGATCATCATCCAATCACGTGCAAGTAACATACAGTTTTTTTTTAGTTTCCTGGCCCCTGATTGGGTCTTCCTTACAAAGTGAAATTTAAGGGGAACCCCCCTCCCCAAGTGCCAATTCCCCTGCAAAGTGAGCAGCGTCAGATTCACAGAGGTGTATGTACCATGTA